AAAAATTGTAAAAGTTTATTATTCCTATCTGTACTATAACTTTATTTAATATTACAACTTCTTTATTTAAACTTACCTTTTAATAGATGCAAAATATTGCTCCAGAAAATCTTCTGCATGTTTAAGTATTTCTACTGATGATCTTACTTCTGTTCCATGTGAGGGTAACGATACTATACTTCCTAAACACGCATTACTAGAACACAATGTCTTCTGCAATTAGGAAAATTATTTATGGTGCGTAATATGTTGTATGAGTGTATTATAAGAGTTATTAAACATTATTATATTAATATAAGATTTTTTCTTGTGTAATTTATGTGTATCACCTATCGTTTTTATACGCCATCTTCTAGATGAATATACATATTTATAAGTTATTGGATATATTACCGTTATTTTTCTTCTTTATCTACGTTTATAATACAACGCTTACCTTTTTAAAAAATCTTGTTTATGTTTAATAGTTACATTTCAAATTCTTAGTTAATTAGAGGAGATTAAAGACTTTCTTACTGCCTGTTTTTCAAAGCCTACAAGCAACCAACTTTTGAAAGATTAGTTAAATAAATAATAATTTACAAAGCGTGATAGCTGCTTCTAAATTTGCAAGCCTTACACTTAATCTCTAAATTGTTTATTTTCTCTTTTTTTTTACTTTTGGAGAATTTTGAGCTTTCTCTGAGACTTGCTTTGCTTTATTTCAATTAAAAACGTAGTTTTTGGACAAATATTTTTAAAACTTTTCATCAATAAAATGAGATGTTACGCCATTTTTTGATTAGTATCCTTTTTTTTGTATAATCCAATGTCTTCCTTAGTTTCCGATCTCATGTATTATTATAATAATCTTACATTTCTATCTAAGAAAGTGATACTGTCTTTTAAAAAATAAAGCTATAAGTTGTGAGTTTTTTTTAATACAGCGTATAATAATGTAGTTTTTGTACGTTTAAATATCAGATGCTTTTAAAATCTCTAAAAGATTGATACGTAAGTAAAATTTACAATAGTAATTGCAGACATCTATATACAAAAAACTGTGTGAAAATAACTGTCACTAGAAAAGTATTAATATTCAGTCATTCAGATTGATATCAGTATGCAACAACATTAATAAAAAATAAAAGCTTTAATTCCTAACATCAAGCAATAATTTCTGAAATAAGCGTGGGGTCTACTAATGAGTGGTCTTCAAGCATGTATATCTTTAGTTTTTAAAATAGTCAGTTTTAAAAAGAGAAAGTCAAAAAATGCTAGCAAGGCCCGTCATAAATAATAATATGCCATTTGACGCCTAATTTAAGTAATATAATATATAACTTTTAATATTGTATAGTTATTCATCAGGACCCTTAACACAATCCTCCACAGCCACCCAAAGCAAGGCTCCCAGATTTTCGGGAGTTCGCCGCATGCGCAGTGCGCAATCACCCTCTCTCCATCGAGCAGTCTGGAGCGGGAGAGCCCCCCTACCCAGACCTTTAACCTAAGCCCTGCCCTCTTCTCACAACTAAAATATGACATCTTTTCAAGTAAGAGTAAAATCGATGACAGCCATGCAGGCTAAGTCTTTTGCCCCAGCCAAACTTGCCATCTTTCGAATTTTTTTAATTATAAAACAAAATAGTCGTCCCTCATTAAGGAAATAAAACATTAATATTAAGTGAGTAAAGCGTCGAGTGATGATATATAAAGTATTATTTAGTATTTAAAAACTACCAAACGACAAGTCTTGATCATTGTTAATGTTATTCACTATTACATTATTTAGGTCGGTAAGCAACACTGTTTAATACATTAATCTGTCCCGAACTGCACGAACTTTTTTTTGATTGGTGTATCATTAATAACTCACTTTGCTACAAGTATTTATTCTTGGAAATACGTCTCGTCGAAAAATATGGATTGCCATAAAAGCTCATGCTGCAATTTCTCAATATTTTTCTGTCTGTACCCTAAAAACACTCGACAAAAAATAGTAAAAAAATTCATGCTGTTTCAGATAGTATAATTAATAAAATCTATGAATTGTTAGTTGTTGTTTAATAAATAAACAACTTTTTTTTCGCTCAGAGTATGTTTATTACAGCACGCTCTCTCTGTAGTTTCTCCAGGCTTGAGACCAGCACATTTACTGTGGCTACATTACGCGAGCGGTAATTTATTTACATTCACGTTTGAAATTAAGAAAAAAATAAATAAACAAAAATGAAGAAAACAAGGTATAGGCAACAAAATTAGAAAAATCATTCAACATAAGTTGTAGAGTTTATTTGACGTCAAGGTAGCAACGTTAGAACAAAAACCATTATTTTTTTTGTAAACATTTTAAAACTGGAATTTAAGTTAGTCAACAAAAAATTACTTTAAATAAACGTCACAAACATGGTACTGCCACTTGCCGCTTAAAGAATAAAAAAGTATTATTATTGGTATTATTGCAGTTTTTTTGTGTTGTAGTATTAAATGAAGAAATAACTTTTGTATTCTTTAACTTTTTGCTTGCACAAACATTTTCTGCGTAAAATAATTAGAAGTGTTGTTGAGACGCTTCAGAATTCAGAGGTTTTATACCTCTAAAAGTGCAGTAGTTTCTGATTTAACAATACGCGTTTATAAGCGGTGTTCCCATTGCCGTTTTCTTTACAGATTTGATCTCATTAACAATTCAAAAAAAATTTTCTCTGGCAACGCGTTTGAATGTGGCAAAGTTTAAATACGCAAAACTTATTTTGTGAGCTCAGGAAACTGTAAAATGTCACCCACATCCTGTTTTTTGCAAAAGATTTTACCCCAAAATTGATCAATTTCAAGAGATCTTTATCTTACAACTTCATTTTTAGAAAAGTATAACGGTAAATTTCTCCATTTAATACTAGCAACTGATTTATCAATATTTAGAAAATACTTGTTGCAAAGATCATACAAATCGAGAATCGTTGCTCTAATGCATGAATCTAAAGCGTTTTTCAGCTTTGAAAAATCTAATTTATTAAAAAAATCGTCGTTTATAAAAAAAAGCTTTTTCATTTTTTCAAACAGTTTTTGATAATACTGAAAAACAAGTATTTTTCACAAAATTTCACAAAAAATACTTTCGGAATCCATTTCCCTTAGTTTGTCCGCATACTCTGGTCCGCAATAAACTGTATTAAGGGGCAATAAATTGAATGCATCATAAGGATCAATAGAACGAAGGTTTTGAAATAGTTTGGGATTTAAAAAATTTAACGCACATTTTTTAAGCATCATGTTGCAATTATTTGAAAGAACGTGCAAAACTACTTTCGATGTTTGAAACTTTTTACTAAAATTATTGAAGTCTTGCAAGACGTACAACAAAAATAAGATAATGCATTAAAATGTGTCAGACTTCATTAACAAAAGCAACTTGTCAAAAGTCTTTGCCTCTTCAGATGACTCAAAAACTTCTACGATTAAAAATTGCCGCAGTGGAACCCAATTTTCCACAACGCGCTCAATACATTCAAACACTTCAAGCCATCTACTTCCACATATTTTTAAAATTTGATTTGTTTTAACCTTTGCGTCTGTCTGAAATTCTTTAAAAACTGTAGATCGTTTTGGACTTTTCGATAAGTAACTTGCTATCCTTCGTAAAAAAAGTCTACATCCGTAGAAAGACACGCATAACTGTTCTTCGTGACGAGGGCAGATAAATGACAAATACAATTTGTAAGCATAAAATTAGGTGACAGTTCTCTCAAATGACTAGCGAATGAATTAAAACGACCGATTATGACATTTGCATTGTCACATGCTAACCCAACAACATTATTCCATGGAATTCCAAACGTTTCAAATGTATTTTAAAAAGACTCAAAAATTTTCTCTGCTGGTGCCAAAGTTGCGTCCAACTCAGTAAAAGTTTAATGATGACCCACGATTTACTTCAATTTAAAATCATAATATTGAACTGCAACACACAAAATTTTTTTATTGCTGCGATCTGTACTTTCATCTAGCAGTAAAGAAAAAGGTACTTTTTTCAAGATTTCTACCACTTTTAATTTAATGTCACGAGCTAAAACATTAACAATAAGGCCCGAGCATTTTGTACTACCAACTGACATAGACTGCGTGGCTTCAGGATTCTTAGACATTTTTTTAATTAAAGGAAGCGAGTCATTTATAATATCAATACGAATGTTATACTGAGCGAAAAAAAGGCTTAAGCTGAGCTCAGACTCTTGACAATGTTCTTTTTTCGACAAGGATGTTACCGCAGGTGCAACAAAATTTACTATTGCTTTGCCATGATACTGTGTACAAGTGTGCTTCAACAAATCATTTTTTGTACTCACACAAATATCTACTTTACAAGCTAAGCATTTAACTTTACCATCAGTATCAGATGATTCAAAGCAACAGTGAAATCTTTCGTCACGCAACCAATCTACATTAAAAGTCTTCAGTTTTTTGGACTTCTCAGAATGTAATGCCTTGGAACTTTCACGTTCACACACATGACCCGTTCTATTATGCGAATTTTGCGACATATTAACAACAAACTCTTACCTTGCTACTGCTAATAGAAGTTTCTACCCAGAGACCCACGCGAGCTTGCGGAAACGATGCAAATAAACGAGAAATGCAGCTTGTTTTTAACGAATGCACAAAATAGGTCTTGTATACCTATTTTTAAAAAACAAGTGTGCAGGAGTCCATGAGCGAAGGATTTGCGCTAAATACGCGCAAAAAGTAAACAAGACCAGTCGTTTACAGCCTTAAAAACAAAGTATACGCGTTGAAGTTTAGCTTCTGCAGAATACGTTATAGCGTACAATACAGATAATCTAAATAACATTGATTCATCAATCCGTATAACGAAGCATGTAAATAAATGAAACACCGATAACATGTGTATGACAGTCATAGGATTCAACTTATTAGTAATCTACACTATCTTTACATACAGCTTCCAACCAATGTACACATGCTAGTGATTGAGCCATATAACATCCTGATGTTGCGGTTTAATATTTTTTTACACTCATGTACATGATACTTCCTTGGCTTAAGCTGTTAAAAATAATAATAATAGTAATTATTGTAAAAACAATAGTATAAAAAAAACCTTTTTTGTGTTATTGCAGCAGGCATAAATTATACCAACGTTTTAAATTGTAAAAGTTTATTATTCCTATCTGTACTATAACTTTATTTAATATTACAACTTCTTTATTTAAACTTACCTTTTAATAGATGCAAAATATTGCTCCAGAAAATCTTCTGCATGTTTAAGTATTTCTACTGATGATCTTACTTCTGTTCCATGTGAGGGTAACGATACTATACTTCCTAAACACGCATTACTAGAACACAATGTCTTCTGCAATTAGGAAAATTATTTATGGTGCGTAATATGTTGTATGAGTGTATTATAAGAGTTATTAAACATTATTATATTAATATAAGATTTTTTCTTGTGTAATTTATGTGTATCACCTATCGTTTTTATACGCCATCTTCTAGATGAATATACATATTTATAAGTTATTGGATATATTACCGTTATTTTTCTTCTTTATCTACGTTTATAATACAACGCTTACCTTTTTAAAAANGTGCAATTCGGGACAGATTAATGTATTAAACAGTGTTGCTTACCGACCATAATAATGTAATAGTAAATTATATTAACAATGATCAAGACGTGTCGTTTGGTAATTTTTATTATCATTAATCGACGCTTAACTCACTAAATACTAATGTTTTGATTTCCTTAATAAGTGACGAATATTTTGTTTTATTATTTAACTTACCTCGTCTTGCACATAGTATTTTTAAAAATCATGTTTTAGTATTAAAACGTTATAAATAAAATTATTTACATAAACGTGTCATGACACTTTATGTATAACGTACATTAAAAAAAAAAAAAAAAAAAAAAATTTCAGATAGATTCGGAACCTGGCAAGTTTGGCTGGGGCAAAAAACTTAGCCCAGTGGCTATCACCGATTGTACTCTTACTTGACATGATGTCATATTTAAGATGTGAGAAGTGGGTGGAACTTAGGTTAAAGGTCTGGGTAGGGGTGCTCTTCCGCCACAGCTGGCTCTATGGAGAGAGGGTGATTGCGCAGTGCGCATGCGGCGAACTCTCGAAAATCTGGGAGCCTTGCCCCAAAGATACTCTGTTACCTTCTACTGCGCCCTTTGAAATAAGCTATAAATCCGTCTTGTTCTTTCTTACTTTTACGTACCATATTTATTGTCAATGTTTCAAAACCCCTAACAGCTCTCCACAGACCAAATCGCCAAATGCAGATTGCCACTCCTCCCCCGTACAACTTCTCTTGTTGTCTTCAATTATCGTTGAAATGTTCTTACAAGTGTTATAATACGTAGTCGTGCACTAAAAAATTTTTTTAAAAAAGTCATCACTAATACACCTTTTTTTTTAAAACCAGGTAGCTTTATCACCATTTAAAATAATTGCTTCATAGAGTTGTCCATTTTCCTTAATAGAAACGTGAAAAGTTAATGTAGACAAGTAAGCTAAGCAGCCCTACAAGTTACGTTGGGTAAAATGACTCTGATATCAAGCATGTAACTGAATTAACTTTTTTCCTTATTAACTGTTATGACAATGTACTTACAAAATACCTATCTAAGCCAGCATCTTTTTTGTACCTCGAATTTTTGTTGCATAATATCATTTTTTCCTTTTTCCTAAGACATGTTACCTTTTGTCTTTTGCTAACTGTATAATTATTGAACATTCAGAGAAATTGAAAGCAAGATATTGTTAAAGATGTTGTTACAAACTCTCTTCGTGGAGTAGCATAATCGTTACTGTGTTGAATTACCTTTAAAATATTTCACCGTTAGCAGATACATGAAAGTTTGCCTGTCATGTTGCAAGACTGAGCGAATATAGAACAATAAACATAAACAAGAATGCCGTACTTTTATTGTTGACATTGTAGAAAGTATTTACTCGTGAATCATAAAAATTACATTCAAGTGTTAAAATCTGACATTCAAACAACTTATTCTTTGATATTATCTTATTATTTTGAAAAGCAGCCGACAATGGTTTTTATAGACAGTAAGAAAAAAAAGACTTATACAGTGAATCCGTGTATTGTTTGACAAGTACATTATGCTTGTAGCAATACACAGGATATTCTAATAAAGTTTGATCATTGCAGAGCTTAAGAGAACTTTTTTTAAACTAATCAAACAAAAAATAGATATTGCTTTGAATAAGTACAAACAATTTTGACAATGTCATTTCTATAGCTCACAACGCACAAAGATTTCATGCTCAGTTTATTCTTAAAAATATGGTGGGAAAACACGGTTAACGCATAGTTTTGCCTGTTACTATATAAGGATCAACAATATTATGAATGGAATAAATATAAATAATATTTATCAATACTCTTTATAACTTTAAAATAACCTTGAGCAGTTCACACAAGTTGTACGAGCTGTTGTTGAATAAATAAAGTATTATGACATTTGCATTGTCACATGCTAACCCAACAACATTATTCCATGGAATTCCAAACGTTTCAAATTTATTTTTAAAAGACTCAAAAATTTTTTCTGCTGAAGCCAAAGTTGCGTCCAACTCAATGAAAGTTAAATGATGACCCACGATTTTGTNGAGAGTTAAACCCAAGGTTTGACTCTAAACTTGCTGAACTTTAAGTCTCAGCGTCCCTACTCCTGACACTGCACAGCTTATCTACACAATGAAAGGCAGTTGTACTGACTTTGACACAAGTACTACTGATGGTTACTTTCTTGCAGTCTGTATGTTCTTTTAAATATAGCAGTAAGTATCTTAGACCAAAAGATTTAATAGCCGTTACTGCAGTGACTCAAAGGTATTTGAAATCTATCAGTCACAAAACGCACCAGCACTTCTTGGTCAAAAATTTCTTGAGTGCAGATTGATTAGCATCTCCCACAATGCCCCACGTTTAAGGGATCACTTTTCACACATAAGTCATGTATTTCTGGCCAATAACATCAGATTTTCTTTACTTTTCAGAACCAGATACTGTTCTGCATTTTCCTAGGTAGTAAGACCAATTGGGTAGAAAAAAAAAAGTTGGACACCACATAATTATTGAATAACAGGAGGAACCCCTCTAAAAAACTACCAGTACTTGAAAAAAGCTTTTTACCGTTAGTAAAAATATTTTAGAACTATTTATTTACCAGGGTATTAAAACCTTAACAGCTTAAATAGTGTTTTTTCCCTTAGCATGCTTTCCACTCAGACAACACCAACTTTATAATAAATTTAAATTTTGAACCAATTGCAATATTTTTTTGTGCCTAATATTATATTGCTTAAACAGTCTCTTAGCGGCTTATCGAATGTATGAATACACGCGTGGTTAGTGATGCTTCTTTTGTTTATTGCTCTTGTGAAAAAACTAATAGCTGTGTTTAATATGTCTCACATTATTATATTTCCAAAACACAAATTATTGTCACCTTTGTCTCAAAAAGCAGGATAATTTGTCACTTTTCACTTATCCCCTGTCAAAAAAGTGTTATTTTGCTTTTTTTTTTTTCCACGACAATAAGAACAAATTAAATTTATCCTACTACCCCCGTCTTGTGCAATAATTAAATATTTGTATAAAACGTCTAAGGAACCCATCCTTGTTTCGTACGTCTCATGGCAGTGGCTTAATAAAGCATTTACAATTCAAATTGGAGACAATCACCCATAAACACCCTTTCGTCTGTAGACCATATTATAAAACCTTGTTCTTTCAGCAATGAGGTGTATACAGAAGTAAAATAATGTTTAAGCGGCAAAAGTCTATACTTATGCGTGCGTGTTATTTATGCAAGAAGCCGCGTACAAGCCGCTTTTATCCCGTGCTTGCGCAGTCCTAATTTATCACTATGAGTGGCTGTAAAAATGCATTTTTTACTGCTTTTTGGCTCCTTTTGGTTCCTGCATTGCTCTGTCACTCCAAAAAAAGCGTCAGAAAAACCAGAAAAAGAGAAAGGTTTTTTTGCTTTACTTGAAATAAATTATCACGGGTCACTGTAAGGGTCATTATTAATTATTAAAACATATTTAACGGACCATACCAGCTACAACGACGTGGATTTCTCTGTGACGTACCACTACCTGACTTTTTTTTTTATACACTTAGTCACTGCTGTGGGCAGTTGGAGGCAGCTATGAATCGTTGTAGATACTTGTAGTAAAAGACAACTAAAGTTCTTATAGCTCGTTTTAATTTTATTCTTTCAGTTGTTAAAATTTCACCCCCCCCCCCTCCAGTACGTAACATAAGAAACTTCGTTTTAAAAAAAAAATCCTTACGTAGTAGAAAAAGGATTGTTTACTTCAAATGTATGTTAGCTCATTTATAAAAACGTTCAAACAGATATAAACACTATGCATCTTTCTGAAACTCCAACATCAGTACATTATTTACCACAAATTTTTAACCTTGAAAATAGATCATCTCAATCTTAGTTACTTATGTGACTTTTGACTTAAAACTGTCAAAGATAAAAAGGAAACTCCTTATTAAGGTTATTACGATTACTGATCTAGCATCGCAATAAATGGTTAAAAAATTGTGACGTAACAAGCGTAAATGTTACGCAAGCCATCGATGAGTCGTATAATGACGTCTACATCCCATCTTGTTCCTCTAAGCCCAAAAATGTAGGAAGACAAGACCTTGCTCGCAGCAGCTAGCAGTGGATTTGCTGTAGTACAGTCCAGGTGACGATGAAAAGTTTTAAATAGTATGTGGTAAATAAAGATACTGTATATACTTCATCAAGCTCAAAGCTCAAATAAGCCCAAAGTCAAAGATATTTACTAGTTTTGAATAAGTAGTCTCACCTGTAGAAAGAGAGAGCTCCTGCGCGAATGTCCCTGTTTTAGAATAAGAAATCCAAGAAGTATAAAGCCCTAAGGTAACGGATACAAACGATGTTTATAAACGCCATGTCGGCGCTCCTTTTTTTCTTTCCAATTCCAGAAATAAAGTTAAAAATATTTGTGTCAGTTGGTCTGCAGAAGCAATATTTATGACAAAGACTTAGGTCAAATGATCGTCATAGGTAATGGGCTTATTTCCTTACAAGACGTAGTGTAAATATTGTGTTGCTAATTTTACGTACTATACTATTCGTGTATTATTTCGGCTGATAAGCTAAGACTCAGTAAAGATATAATGCGCTGTGTATCGTGACGTAATATGGTTACGGGCTCTTAGCAAAATAAGGAGCGTTGCAAGCTCTTATAGAATCGTCAAAAAATCCAGATTAAATCGTACCAAACGTAAATTAAGCTTTGCCACTACACTTATATTATACAAAAACAGCTG